TAATCCTTTGTGCTGTTCATTGGTACGCAAGCTAACGATTTAACCTATAATGTTTCTGTTTCTGTTGATGTGTGCAGATGCAGCTAAGCGCTTAAAGTGTATGACAATTATTTTCATGATGCAGGATTTAAATGCGGTACCAGCAGGTTGTAATGGCGTTACCAGCAGACCGGTTTGTAAATGCTCTGTCGTTTGTGTTAAACAATGGAGGGCATTATTTTCACTTTCCGCTTTTCTGTGGCTAATTTTTGTCGGTGTTAATTGCAGGATGTTCTTAGTTTATGCTGAATGTGCCACCCTGGAGAAGTTGCATATTTATTACTGCTGATGTAGTTTCGCTTGTATGTAATTCTGGTGTACATGTTTTATAATCAGATATGTTATGTAGTTTCAATGTTGTATTGTAAGCGCCAAGTCAAAATGCACTTGTCAAACCGCATGTCCAATTCCACGAATTCCGAACCGCATGTACCCGAACCGCGCTCGAAGGTGATTGGCTCGTGACTCGTCCCAAATGTGTCCCCCAAGTGTCCACGTCAGTCCTGAAAAAGACCTTCGGGTCAGTTCAAAAGAGTCCTGCAGGACATAACCAGGACTCTTTGAACCGTCACTACAGACTTCCTGAAGGACACTTTCAGGATAGGGGTGCAAAATGTCCCGAAAGTCTCTTGCGGGATACTTTGGGGACGATTTTGGGACCTAGGAATCTGCCTCGGAGGCCAAAGTATGGTCCGTAGGTTCTGTGCCTAAGAAGCTGGGTCAATGTGCCATTTGCCCCCGACAAAGCTACCGCGTTGAAAGTGACATCTTGAATACCGGCAAACCCGGATGCACTCCCTTCAGACACATGCTCGTAACGATCCACCCATTAGACCTTTGTGGGGTGACTCAGGTGGGTGGCTCAGGTGGGTGAATCAGGTGGGTGACATAAGGATGTGGAGAAGAAACATAGCAAGGAACCAGAGTCAGTTTCTCGTACATTGGGGGTGCTTCAGAGAAACAATTGACGGTGAAGGTGGGGGAGAGAATGCATTGAGATGATGTGACCTCTTTTGAATATTTGCATGGTGAGGCTATTGATGAGGCTGCAAAGGTGACATAAACCGGATGGTTTTGGGATGAGATTGGCATTTGCATATGATTCAGCCAGGCAAGAATCAGCCAGGCATGATTCAGCCTGGCATGATTCAGCCTTGCATGATTCAGCCAGGCATGATTCAGCCTGGCATGATTCAGCCTTGCATGATTCAGCCAGGCATGATTCTGCGTGGCATGATTCAGCCAGGCATAATCCAGCCAGGCATGATCCTACCAGGCATGATTCAATCAGGCATTTTCAGCTAGGCATGATTCAGCCAACCAGGGATAATTCAGTCAGGAATAGTTCAGCCAGGCATGATTCAGCCTGGCATTATTCAGCCAGTCATGATTCAGCCAGGCTTGATTCAGCCTGGCATGATTCAGCCTGGCATGATTCAGCCAGGCATGATTCAGCCAGGCATGATTCAGCCAGGCATGATCCAGCCAGGCATGAATCAGCCTGGCATGATTCAGCCCTGCATGATTCAGCCCAGCATGATTCAGCCCAGCATGATTCAGCCATGCATGGTTCAGCCAGGCATGATTCAGCCAGGCAGGATTCAGCGAGGCATGATTCAGCCTGGCATGATTCAGCCAGGCATGATTAAGCCAGGCATGATTCATCCAGGGATGATTCAGCCAGGCATGAATCAGCCAGGCATGATTCAGCCATGCATGATTCAGCCATGCATGATTCAGCCTGGCTTGATTCAACCAGGCATGATTCAGCCATGCATGATTCAGACAGGCATGATTCAGCCATACATGATTCAGCCATACATGATTCAGCCAGGCATATTCATCCAGGCATGATTCAGCCAGGCATGAATCAGCCATGCATGATTCAGCCTGGCTTGATTCAGCCAGGAATGATTCAGCCAGGCTTGAATCAGCCAGGCATGATTCAGCCATGCATGATCCAGCCATGCATGATTCAGCCTGGCATGATTCAGCCAGGCATGATTCAGCCATGCATGATTCAACCAGCCATGATTCAGCCAGGCATGATTTAGACAGGCACGATTCAGCCATGCATGATTGCCAGGCATGATTCAGCCAGGCATGATTCAGCCAGGCATGATTCAGCCAGTCATGATTCAGCCAGGCATGATTCAGCCAGGCAAGATGCAGCCAGCCAGTCATGATTCAGCCTGGCTTGATTCAGCCAGGCATGAATCAGCCAGTCATGATTCAGCCTGGATTTCTTCAGCCAGGCATGATTCAGCCAGCCAGGCATGATTCAGCCTGGCATGATTCAGTCTGGCATGACTCAGCCAGGCATGATTCATCCATGCATGATTCAGCCAGGCATGATTCATGCAGGCATGATTCAGCCAGGCAGGATTCAGCCAGGCATGATTCAGCCTGGCATGATTCAGCCAGGCATGATTCAAGCGGGCATGTTTCAGCTAGGCATGATTCAGCCAGGCATGATTCAGCCAGGCATGATTCAGCCAGGCATGATTCAACCATGCATGATTTAGCCTGGCATGATTCAGCCAGGCGTGATTCAGCCAGGCATACTTCAGCCAGGCATGATTCAGCCAGGCATGATTCAGCCAGGCATGTTTCAGCCAGGCATGATTCAGCCACGCGATTCAGCCTGGCATAATTCAGCCAGACATGAATCAGCCAGGAATGATTCAGCCATGCATGATTCAGCCATGCAGAATTCAGCCTGGCTTGATTCAGCCAGCCATGTTTCAACCAGGCATGATTCAGCCAGGCATGATTCAGCCGGGCATGATTCAGCCAGGCATGATTCAATCAGGCATGATTCAGCCAGGCATGATTCAGTCAGGCATGATCCAGCCGGGCATGATTCAGTCAGGAATGATTCAGCCAGGCATGATCCAGCCAGGCATGATTCAGCCAGGCATGATTCAACCATGCATGATTCAGCAAGGCATATTTTGGCCAGGCATGATTCAGCTTGGCACAATTCAGCCTGGCATGATTCAACCAGGCATGATTCAGCCTGGCACGATTCAGCCAGGCATGATTCAGCCAGGCATGATTCAGCCATACGTGATTCAGCCAGGCATGATTCACCCAGCCATACTCATCCAGGTATGATTCAGCCAGGCATGAATCAGCCATGCATGATTCAGCCCGGCTTGATTCAGCCAGGAATGATTCAGCCAGGAATGAATCAGCCAGGCATGATTCAGCCATGCATGATTCAGCCATGCATGATTCTGCCTGGCTTGATTCAGCCAGGCATGATTCAACCAGCCATGTTTCAGCCAGGCATGATTCAGACAGGCATAATTCAGCCATGCATGATTCAGCCAGGCATGATTCAGCCAGGCATGATTCAGCCAGGCATATTCAGCCTGGCATGATTCAGCCTGGCATGATTCAGCCTGGCATAATTCAGCCTGGCATGATTCAGCCAGGCATGATTCAGCCAGTCATGATTCAGCCAGGCATGATTCAGCCTGGCTTGATTCAGCCAGGCATGAATCAGCCAGTCATGATTCAGCCTGGCTTTATTCAGCCAGGCATGATTCAGCCAGCCAGGCATGATTCATCCATGCATGATTCAGCCAGGCATGATTCAGCCAGGCATGATTCAGCGAGGCATGATTCAGCCATGCATGATTCAGCCATGCATGATTCAGCCAGGCATGATTCAGCCAGGCATGATTCAGCCAGGCATGATTCAGCCAGGCATATTCAGCCTGGCATGATTCAGCCTGGCATGATTCAGCCTGGCATGATTCAGCCTGGCATGATTCAGCCAGGCATGATTCAGCCAGTCATGATTCAGCCAGGCAAGATGCATGCAGCCAGTCATGATTCAGCCTGGCTTGATTCAGCCAGGCATGAATCAGCCTGGCTTTATTCAGCCAGGCATGATTCAGCCAGCCAGGCATGATTCAGCCAGCCAGGCATGATTCAGCCAGGCATGTTTCAGCCAGGGATAATTCAGCCAGGCATGATTCAGCCAGGGATGATTCAGCCAGGTATGATTCAGCCAGGCATATTCAGCCTGGCTTGATTCAGCGTGGCATGATTCAGCCTGGCATAATTAAGCCAGGCATGAATCAGCCAGCCATGATTCAGCCATGCATGATTCAGCCATCCATTATTCAGCCTGGCTTGATTCAGCCAGGCATGATTCAGCCATGCATGATTCAGCCAGGCGTGATTCAGCCAGGCATGATTCAGCCGGGCATGATTCAGCCAGGCATGATCCGGCCGGGCATGATTCAGCCAGGCATGATTCAGCCAGGCATGATTCAGCCAGGCATGATTCAACCATGCATGATTCAGCAAGGCATGTTTCAGCCAGGCATGATTCAGCTTGGCATAATTCAGCCAGGCATGATTGAGCCAGGCATGATTCAGCCAGGCATGATTGAGCCAGGCATGATTCAACCAGGCATGAATCGGCCTGGCATAATTCAGCCAGGCGTGATTCAGACAGGTATGATTCACCCAGGCATGTTTCAGCCAGGCATGATTCAGTCAGGCATGATTGAGCCAGGCATATTCAGCTTGGCATGATTCAGCCTGGCATGATTCAGGCTGGCATAATTTAGCCTGGCATGATTCAGCCTGGCATGATTCAGCCAGGCATAGGTCAGCGCTGTTTCTGCTGGGGGTGCCTGCCTGTTATGCTCTGCCTGCAATGCTCTGCCTTCTGCCCCCATCCTCCTATGCTCTGTCTGCTTTCCTCGGTCTCCCATGCAACGAAGCTTGCAGGGAAGGACTTGTTTAAGCTTCACACCCAAGCGCCTGCTCATTCATTCCTCCCCACCCTGAATCATGTCTGCTTCTCTGCACCTGTCCATCGCACCCCTGCCTTGTCATTCTGAATGCTTTTTCCCCTGCCTCAACTTTTGCTCAATCTACACCTCTCTCCTCACTCAGTTGTTACTGGTAGCATAAACCGGCATGCGCACCTGCAATCTTCAGGCAGGCAGGTGGGGGCAGGCGATGGTCTGCAGGCAGGTGGGGGCAGGCGATGGTCTGCTGGCAGGTGGGGGCAGGCGATGGTCTGCTGGCAGGTGGGGGCAGGCGATGGTCTGCTGGCAGGTGGGGGCAGGCGATGGTCTGCTGGCAGCTGGGGGCATGCGATGGTCTGCAGGCAGGTGGGGGCAGGCGATGGTCTGCAGGCAGGTGGGGGCAGGCGATGGTCTGCAGGCAGGTGGGGGCAGGCGATGGTCTGCTGGCAGGTGGGGGCAGGCGATGGTCTGCTGGCAGGTGGGGGCAGGCGATGGTCTGCAGGCAGGTGGGGGCAGGCGATGGTCTGCAGGCAGGTGGGGGCAGGCGATGGTCTGCAGGCGGGTGGGGGCAGGCGATGGTCTGCTGGCAGGTGGGGGCAGGCGATGGTCTGCTGGCAGGTGGGGGCAGGCGATGGTCTGCAGGCAGGTGGGGGCAGGCGATGGTCTGCTGGCAGGTGGGGGCAGGCGATGGTCTGCTGGCCTGCAAGCTGCGGCAGTGCTTCGGGGAATGGGGCGCAGAGGGGGGGGGGTCTAAGCAGGCCAATGGCGAGAAGGGGGAGGCGATGGAGGGAGATGGGGATGGGTGGCTGCAATGCAAGTGGAGTGTGATTGGATCCCAGTGGCAGATTGGGCGAACTGACGAGGGTTGGAGCTGCACCCGCCAGCCCCTCGTTCACTGTGGCGTTCAGATGATGATGCGTCGTGGAAGGATGAAGACACAGCAAGGCGGTGCAGTGCGGTGCAGTGCACTGCGACAATGCAGCGCAAACCAGGGTTTAGAGTGCACATCACCAAAACGTGCCGGAGGGTGATCATCGGATTAATTTCCGTGCCAAATCTGGGCTTCCTTCCTCTCAGTGTGTTGTCAAACACCGCCTAAGTGATTGTGCCTACGTATGTACCGTATGTTCCTTACCAAGTGAATGTGCCCGTGCTTTCTCGGTATTGTGAATTTGACATCATCAACAAAGCATAAACGGTCCTTGCTGGTTTATCATACAAAGCACTTACGGTAACATGTTGGTAGCTTTGTCCAAACAGAATCACAGCAATAGTTGAATCCCGTTCTACAGCTCATGAGGAACTGGTACTGCATACCCCAGCCTTCCTGTCTCCTCTACCCTCTCCTCTCCCCTCTCACCTTCAATCTTCCTTCAACGTCGATTAGGATATTGGCATAACACCAGTAGCAGCATTACCGTATCATGTTCAAACAGATATTCACAGCAATTGTTTCACCAAACCTTGAAAACCTCTCAACTGTAATATTGCTGAAGTCCCTTACAATCCTCAAACCTCCACAACCAGGTACAGCACACCACAATTCCCTCCTCTCCCTCCCCTCCCGTCCTTTCCCCTCCCCTCTCCTCTCACCTTCACTCTTCCTTCCTTTCCACAACTTTGCCATTCTCCTTCCAGCTCTTCTCTCCAATGCTTTCACACCCGTGCCTGGCACTGTCCTTGCACTTGCCTATGCAACTGACCTAGCCAATCATCTTACCACCATGCCCCCATATTTCCACTCTCACCGGAACCCTCACAACCACTCTCCTTGCCAATCATCATGCAGCCGTCCTTGCTCCCATCCTTCCCACTCTTCTTCCCGCTGGTCCTGCCGGGGCATTTGAGCTTGTGGGAAGGCCAGTGCGCCTTTTGGCACTCTCTGCTGCAATACGCCACCTTGCCACACCCACCGCACCTCCTCAGCTTCCCTCCGCCACTCTCCACCGCCTCACATTCCGCAGCACCACACACATGGCCTTGGACATCCGAAGAAGCAGAAGCAGCAGCAGCAGCACGCTTGCTTATTGCAGTGAGGGTGGGAGAGGCAGCAGGATGGGTGCGAGCAGTAGCAGGGGCGGACATAGCAACAGAGGAGGCAGGGCGGTAGCACGGCTCCCCCAGCAGCATCTCTCGCAGACATGCCACCAGATTCACTCCTCCCAGCCATGTCCTAAGATAAGCCGGCTCCTCTCCCTTCTTGTCATTCTTCTCACTGCTACGGCTGCTGCTACTGCTGCTACTGCTGCTGCTGCTGCTGCTACTGCTGCTGCTGCTGCTGCTACTGCTGCTACTGCTGCTGCTGCTGCTGCTACTGCTGCTACTGCTGCTTCTGCTGCTGCTACTGCTAATGCTGCTGCCAGTGATACTCACCTTGGCAGACCCTTGCTGCCCCTGCAAGCCCTCACAGTATCTCGGGACGATCGCCGCCGCGAGAGCCCACTTGATGTCGAGGCTCTCCCGCTCTCTGCTGGCTCTGCACTCCTCGCTCCCCCCCGCGACCCCCAGGTTTGACATCCATGTATTCGCTGCTGCAGCATGCCACATTCGCACCTCTTCCCACACCTCTCCTCCATTCCCCTGCTCTATCTCACCATCCCAGCAGCCGTGCACCTTCACACTGCCAACTTTGCTCGCTTCCTCCGCACCTTTTTTTTGTGCGCCTGACTGCACTTCCTGCCCTTTCTCAGCAAGATATAGAAGAGGATGAGAGAACCACACTGCCATGCGAATCAGAAAGTACAGAGGCACCTGCTCGGCTCGCCTCAGCAGCATGTGCAGGTTCAACGGCCTGGGCAGGCGAGCTGGGAAGTCCAAGCACTCAATGAGCTCGCCAAAACCAGGCGAGGATGGCGGGAAGACGGAGAGCACGCGGGAGAACAGATGGCTGACGGAGCGGTAGGCGAAGTTGGCGATCACAGCAATGATGCACACATAATACATGAATTCTTGGGAGCAGGCGCGGCACTGGGAGCATGCATGAGGGTCCATGAGATACCCGGCAAACCCCACCAGGAAGTCAGCGTCTGCCTCGCAGCGAACGATGGGAAGCTTCCTTCTGGGCGGCGATAGTGTTGTTGCTGTCAGCTCGGCGGCAGTTTGAAGTGCTTCACCTCTTTCACGTGCTCTGCTCTGCATGGCTTCCTCCCAACCTCCTTGCCCTATTGCCTTCGAGACTTTCCTCCTTGCACTCCTGCTGCTCCCTCCTGCTTTAGCTATCCCATGCGCTCTGCTCCCTTCAGCTTCCTGGCTACCTCCTTGGCCTTTTGCATTAGATCCTTCCTCCTTTGCACGCCTGCTGCTCCCTCCTGCTTCAGGTGTGTGCTGAGGAGGGTGCAGGGTCAGCTTCTCAGATGGTTCACCACGCTCCTCCACTATCCCAAGGCCAAAACACCTCTCATTTCGGTTGGCAGGAAACTTCACAGCAGCTTTGACGCCTTCAGGCCACTCCTCCCACTCTAAAGGAACTCCGCTTTCCTCCAGAGGCTTGGGAATGGCGCCGAACCTGACCAGAAGCCTCGGAAGGGGCGGACGTTGCGCCGCTGAGGGTCGTCCTTGAAGCACTGTTTCTCCGAGATGGAATCTGAGCCATAGACCCGAACCCACTGCAAGATGCAACCAGCTCGATAGGTCATTGCAGCAACAGCAGAGTTTGTATTGACACGCTTGAGCCTCATGACAGACGGGGGTATAGCATTCGTATCGATGCTTGCAGCAGCAGTAGCAGGCGGGGCCCCTCCTGGATCTGCTCCTGCTCCTCCATCCTTCCCTCTTGTCTGCTGCAAGCGTTGCTGCAGCAGCCTCTTCCGGGCCACCAGAATAGCTGCATTCTCTACGCGCATCTTGCTCGCACTGTTCCGCAGCCTTCCAGTGCTCTGGCTTCCACAACACCGTGGTCACAGCAAGGGCGAAATCGGTCGCATCTACACCACTCACATGCATACCCCTCGAAGCACTGCTGCTGCCTGGACTGCTGACGCGGCTGCTGCTGCTTCTGCTGCCGCCGTCAACGCAGCTGCCGCCACCACTGCTGCTGGTGCTGGTGCTGGTGCTGGTGCTGCTGCTGGTGCTGCTGCTGCTGCTTCTGCCGCTGCTGCTGCTGCTGCTGGCGCCGCCGCCGCCCTCACTGCAGCTGCTGCACCGGAACTCTCTCCCTCCCCCCCCTCCATGCTCCAAGATCCAAGCCATACCATCCACATACCTCTCCCACACAGGCCCCTTCAGATGCTCCCTCCAACTCAAGCCCTTCCTAACTCTTTTGCACTTGCTAGCAACCTTTTCAATCTCTACCTTGATCCCCCCCGCCTCTCCCTCTCTGTGTCCCCAATCGTTTTTTCCATGTGACGCCTCCCATCTGCCCTTCCCCTTCCCATGCATCTTCTCAGCAGCCTTCTCCTCAACTCGCCCAAACGCCATCCCCTCATGCACCTCAGCAGCCCTCCCCTCGGCTCCCCCCCTCCTCTTTGCATGCGCCTTCTCCAGCCCGCCTGACAACAGGTGCTGCACGAAGAACGCAAACCCTTCCTGCAGATCAACACGCTCCTTCACCCCCAGCACCTGCACCAGAATGGATGCAAAGCAGTCATGCTCCACCTGCCTGCCCGCCCCCAGCTCAGCGACAATTGCTGGCCAGACAGGCGAATGCGACACCAAGTGAGCTTTCCACAGAGTCACAAGGCGCGGGGATCTCGCCACAAGCACAAGGAACGTTGAGAAGCTGACAGCACGGCGATAGGCAGCCCAGCAGCTGCTGCATCGCCAACAGCAGGACCACACTGGAGCAGCAGCAGGGGCATGAGGAGCAGTAGGAACAGCAGGGGCAGCAGCAACAGGGGCAGCTGGAGCAGGAGACGAGTCATCAGCAGCTGGAGCAGCTGTTGTAGTATCCAAAATAGCAGTGAGGCGAGATCTGATTTTCCCCAGGTCCATGAGCACGCCCACACGAGGCTCGGCCATCCACTCGAGAAACATCCCTTCCGCGCAAAGGCGAGACGCCCTCTCTGCCGTCCACGCAAAATGCTCCTGAGGAAACATTTCATGACGCTGCGGCTGCTTGGGATCTGCTGCGGGGAGGGAACGAGGCTGCAGCTCGCGCAGGTGGCGACGCAAGTCCTCCAGGTTCTTCATGTCAAGAGCTCGCTGTGCTCGCTGGCTCACTGCACGCTCAAAGCAGCACTTGCACAGGTCCTCCCACCCACTCGTCACATCCACGTAGTGAACCGTATCTGTTACTAAAGACAGCAGCTGAATCCGCTCTCGACTTCCCTCCACTCTTGCTTCCTCTGCTGCCCCTCCGTTTGCCTCATCGAGCTGACTCAGAACACCCTGGTCAATCTGGACTCCAGAGCAGGGTGCCCTCTGCAGTATCATAATAGTCTTCACCTGCTCTTTCAACTTCTGAATTGTCAGCGTTAAGCGTGCTTCTTTCACAGCATAGTCCTCTTCCTCTTCCCCATCCTCTTCCTCTTCCTCTTCCTCTTCCCCATCCTCTTCCCCATCCTCTTCCTCTTCCTCTTCCTCTTCCACTTGCTCTGCTGCCCCTCCCTTTGCCTCATCGCGCTGATCCGGTTCACCCTGGTCAATCTGGCCTTTGGAGCAGGGTGCCCACTGCAGCAACGCAGTAGTCTTAACCTGCTCTTCCAACTTTTGAATTGTCAGCGACAACCGTGCATCTCTCACAGCATAGTCCTCCTCTTCTTCCTTATCCTCTTCCTCTTCCTCTTCCTCTTCCTCTTCCTCTTCATCTTCCTCTTCCTCTTCCACTTGCTCATCCGCTTGCCCTGCCGCCCCTCCGTTCGTTCGAGTGGACTGACCTGTTCCACCTTGCTGAAGTGTCCCCAGCCACGCGTTCATATCCTTCAGCTGCTCTTCCAACTTCAGAAGCTCCAACACGGCGCCATCCTCTCCCTCTCCTTTTTCCTTGCCACTGCCAGCAGCAGAATCACCGGAATCAAGCTCTGCTCCGCCAGATCCAGTCGGGGCTCCTCTCATTGGCTTGTGCGTCTCGTCTTCCTGAGTACTGGGCATGATGGGGTCCATAAAAAAACCATCAAACGTAGCAGCAAAATTCGAATGCGAGGGTCCAGCACATCAGTAGCAGATCCAGCACTGGGAGCTTCCCGGAACTACTCGGCTTTCATCTCGCCCTTATCTATGCACGTTTCTCCTTGAAGGAGGACACATTGATGGATGTACCTGCACTGAGTTGGTTTGCTCAACGGTCAAGCCAGAGGAAAGGGCAAACTTTGCTGCCCAAGAGCAACGAAACGAACTTGTTGCCTCAAATTCGCAGCCGCTTTATCGTGTCCTGAATGCTGCTGACGTGTCTCGCATGGCAGGCAGCACTTATGCAGGTGGGACTATAACAGTCGGTTTAGAGCCCGAAACTGAAGTTCGTCAGTATGTAGAGAGACATCTACGTGTGCGTTAGTCGGCTTAATTCCGAAGCTAATGCTAATGGTACCGAATGGAGAGGTTTCACTCGAGACGCATCCTGCCGACTCGCCACTGCTATTTGTACGACCGCGAGATCCACGGTTCGACAGGTTAGATGGGATCTGAACTCTCGAAAGCCATGACAGGAGCTGCAGGATTCGAGTCAAATTGCTAGTTTTCAGTCGAGGCACAACTTCTCATTCAGATCTGTCGGTTTCACTGGAACGGGAAGGCCAGTAACAGAGCTCCCTTGGTCGCTGGCTGAAGTCCGACGAGACTATGTGATCACCGACTAAGCTAAAGCTTTGAGAGAGCTGAAACATGCTTGTCATCAGGCAACGGTTCCCACCCATGCTACGGTTTGGATTCATGCGACGCCGTGCGACGCGTTCCGCCAATGCCCGAGGCAGCGGAGGCTCCTTCAATTGTGACCATCGTTCTGGGAAAAAATCCAACCACCCAATCACGTTCAGTCTCATGGGGTAGATAAGTGCTTGACAACTCATCCTTATCGCATAAGCTGCTGCCATCCCAGGGCCGTCGATGTGTCGTCTGAACACACTGGATATTGCCATGGATCGGGAAACCAAGTCCAATGGGAAGCGGGATCGAACCGCCCGTTTCCGCAGAAGACTAATCGGGTGTGAAATAATAATCAACGCGGTGCCTGCTGATGTAACCTTGATCGTCTCGAGAGGACCTAGATTGTTGTTCTGAGACTAGCTTTGATGTTGCCATGGCTGAAACACGATCGCCGATAAGACAGATCGTCAAAGATGACGTAGAATGTTGTTTCGAGACTTGTGGTTGGTTTCCAAATTTCAAGATCCCGAACTGGGAATTTCGGCAAGTTGCGTGGGGCGAACGAAGTGGCGAGGAACTACAGCGCTCGCCACACAAATTCCCAATCCTCGATTGTGATCCCAAGAGAAACGATGAGGAAATATAGATACGGTATATAAACGTTCAAACAATAAAATAGCATCAACAATATGGGGATTACGTTAGTTGATCATTACACAATATTTATCACATTGCTGTTCCAAAACAAACGTTATAATCCAATATGGTACCTATGATAATGTTTCCAGTAAAAAACTGGGGCTCAAATCCTATCACCATCTAACCTCATCATCTTATTATAATTGAGGCACTCAGTCGAGGCACCATCTCCATGGTAAACGCGATGAGAAGGGGGTGCAGAAGGGTCGAGTGAGTGGAATGAATATGGAGGGTACGGGAAGGGATGGGACGATGTGTGGGATTATGGGTGGTGTGCGGTGGGGATGGAAAGGATACAGGATAGGAAGGCGGACAGTTGGCTGAAGGCACGAACAAGAGAGTGGAGGGATGAGAGTGGCAGATAGGGAAGGAAACAGCGAGAGGGGTGAGGAAGGACAGTGGACGAGAGGGGAGGAAAAGGTGAGCAAGAGAGGGAAGGAGAGAAAGTAGATTGTGATTGCGCGACGGTAGAAATGTGTCCCTTCCCTCTCTCTCTTTCCCTCTGTCTCTCCTTCTCTGGCTCTCTCCCTCAGTACCTTCCCTCTCCCCCTCAGTCCTTCCCCCTCTGTCCCTTCCGCACTGTGTCATCCCCTCTGTCTCCGCCCCTACAACCATCCCCTCTGTTTCTCCACCTCTCTTTCCCCTCTGCCCCTCCCCCTCAGTCCCTCCCCCTCTGTACCTCCCCCATCTATGTCCACCCCTTCGGCCCCTCCCTTTCGGAGAGAATGAGGAAGGAATGGCGGGGTTGAACAAAATAGTAGGAGCAGGGGAGGGGAACAGAAGCTGGGGCTGAGGGGGGTGAGAGTGAAAGGGTTTGTGAAAGTCGATTGGGGTACGGTGCTACTCTTCTGCCGCCATCAACCATCCACAGTGGAGGAAAAGGCGGGAGGAGAAGGGGGGGTGTAAGGGGTGAGGGGTGGGGGGAGTACGGGAAGAGGAAGAGTGGGAATGCAGGACAGATATATGTGCACCACAGTAGGGCTGACAGGCGTGTGGATGGAGGGGGCATGGGGTGACAGCATATGAGACTGTCGTGGATGGGAGGGAGATGTGGTGCCTGAAGGTGCGATGACAGGATGGGTGACTGTAGGTGGCAGATGGGTGACTGTAGGTGGCAGATGGGTGACTGTAGGTGGCAGATGGGTGACTGTAGGTGGCAGATGGGTGACTGTAGGTGGCAGATGGGTGACTGTAGGTGGCAGATGGGTGACTGTAGGTGGCAGATGGGTGACTGTAGGTGGCAGATGGGTGACTGTAGGTGGCAGATGGGTGACTGTAGGTGGCAGATGGTTGACTGTAGGTGGCAGATGGGTGACTGTAGGTGGCAGATGGTTGACTGTAGGTGGGCAATCATCTGGGTACCCAATAGCCAAGCCCAACATCGCCTGCAGCCTCCCCCTTAGCAGCTCCGAGTGCACTGAGCAACGCACAAGTTGTCTGTGAACAGTGCGCCCATGCTGTAGACGCACGAATGCTGGGCTACGAGTGGGTGTGTGAGTTGCGGAGCTGAGGGGGAAGGGAGTTGATGGAGGGGAGAGGGAGAGGGTAAACAGCACAGTGGCGTATGAGTGAGATGTGAAAGCCAGTCAGTGATAAGGGCAGGAGTCGGTGGGCTAAAAGACGCAGCTATTGAATGTTTTCTCTTTGCTTGTATGCCACAGGTCATGACATACCAAGACCAACCATACAACTGATGCAAGGCAGGTGATGAGGAGAGCATTGCCTTGGGCACCCAATGGCAACACATCAACTCATGGCTGACAGCTCATGGCTCATGGCTCAATGCTCTGGGAAACCAATGGCATATCATCATGGCTCACGGCTTATGGCTCATGGACCATAATCCCCAACCATGCCCGTGCATTTGAACACTAAGAGTCGGTAACTGGGAAGTGGGCAGACAGTTGGTGTTAGGCCTTGGGCGGTGTGTGTGTGTGAACCAATTTACAAGGCCATGCTATGCGGCGTCAATGCTACGCCAAAGGCATAGGGTGAGCGTGAGAGGCATCAGCAGTAGCGATCCATGCATCATGGTGCATGGCTGAACATAGTACTCACTCGCGTGCCCCATGGCTCGTGGTGCATAACGGACCCTGACCCATGGATTATGGAGTATAGATTCTGGTCTAGATTAGCCACACCATTTCACATTCCTCCGCTTTCACGCCTCTCCGCTTTCACGCCTCTCCGCTTTCACGCCTCTCCACTTTCACGCCTCTCCGCTTTCACGCCTCTCCGCTTTCACGCCTCTCCGCTTTCACGCCTGACCCGCCACCTCCCTGACAGAGCACTTCCTTGAGGAGTGCACTGAGCAGCCCGCAGGTTCCCCGTGAACAGTGCGCCCAAGTTGTAGGGCGGGAAAGAGGGCCTGAAATCAGCGCAGGAGAAACAGGTGCGGCGCTGGTGGAGGGAGGGGCAGGGGGAAAAAAAGAGGGCAATGGGCAGCGAACGGAAAGGTGTGTTGCCGCCTGGCAAGGAGTGCACCCAGCAGCCCGCGGATTCTCCCGTGAACAGTGCGCCCATGTTGCAGGGGCGGGAAGTCATGGGCCAGGAATGGGTGCACGAGTAGCAGGTGCGGCGCGGAAACGGTAGACATGGACTGGGTCGGAGGAGGTGGGAATGGGAGAGTAAGCGGGTGGGCATAACTGCCACACCATAGGGGTGTAGGGGTGAGAATTTGTGCAGACTTGGCATGGGAGAAACAGGTGCGGAGCTGGGAGGGGTGGGGAAGGAGTGGGCGGAGGGAGAGGCGGAAGACGCCTCTCTCTCGGTGAACAGTGCAGCCACCTGTGGGGTCCGAGTCCGTGCAGTGCAGTGGGGCAGACGTGGGTGCTGGAGACCCGGGTGCAGTGCAGAGCTGGCGGGGGAGCAGAAAATCACTGGCTGCTCCAATGTGCACACCTTCGGAGGGGAGAGGGGAGACGGGGGACAGTGGGGAACAGAGGGACAAACGGAGAGAGCCATGAGGGTGGCGAGTGATGCAGGCAACTGGCTGCACCACTCTCACCTAGTGACGGGGAAAGGGATGGTGATGGGGATGGGGATGGAGAAGGGGATGAGGATGTTGAAGCGAAAGACGATGGGGAGAGGCGAGGGGATGGGACAGGGGATGGGACAGGGGACGGGTCAGAAGATGGGAATTGGGATGGGACGGGGGATGGGAATGGGGATGGGAATGGGAATGGGGATGGGAATGGGAATGGGAATGGGGATGGGAATGGGGATGGGAATGGGGATGGGAATGGGGATGGGGATGGGAATGGAGAAGGGAATGGGAATGGGGATGGGAATGGGAATGGGGATGGGGATGGTAATGAGAATAGGGATGGGAATTGGGATGGGAATGGGAATGGGTATGGGAATTGGGATGGGAATGGGAATGGGGATGGGAATGCGAATGGGGGACACTGATACAGAGTGACAGCTGATATGCACACCTGGAGGATGAGCTGAAGAAGAGGGGGCAGTAATAGAGGTCAGGAGAGAGCGGTGTTGCATAATATTGCTCCCTGTTAGCCCTGCATTGCCACTTTGGATAACACCGTGGCATTCGCAGTGCATGCAACTCCAACATTACATGAAAATGACAGGAGCGTGGTCAAGTGACCTAAGCTAAGAGCGACTCGAGATTGACCTGACACTGACCTGCTTGTGACCCGCAGGTTGCTCAGGGAATCAGTGCCCCCGCGCACTGGAGTCGAGCACCCGTGCTGGTGTGGGGGGAAGGCGAAGGAGGTGGAGAGGGAGCGGGTGTAGGAAGGGGAGGGAAAGGTGCGCAAAGGCAAGAGCCATGTGGCGGTGTCGTAGGGGCCGAGATTGTAAGACAAGTGACGGGAGTCAGTGCAGTGAGTGCAGTGGGGCAGAAATCAGCGAAGAATAACTGATGGATCGGGAGGGAATTGGGAGAGGGAGGGAGCAGGGAAGGAGGGAACGGAACAACACCATGGCGGGAAGGGTAGCATGAGGGCATGCAACAACTGATGGTAAGGACAACGCGGAGTCCATGAGGGGTCCGGCAGGGGAACGACAAGTGACTAACAGGCAGGCGTGTGACACATGGCAGGCAGGCAGGCAGGCGGGCGGCAAGTGGGCTTGTAGGAAACGCAGGTGAACAGATGTGGGGGGGGGGGGGGGGGAGGGAGGGGGGAGGGAGGGGGGGGCGCGTGGGGGGGCAATCATTCGGCTGCGGCGCCGCTGGCAGTGGTGCATCTGCGGGTGCAAGGCACCATCCCAGCGAGGTACGGCGCGTTGATGATCCATCTTGAGACCCGCGGTGATGCCTGCGCACGCACATTGCAGGCCCCGCCATTCCAATCAACCCACGTGGGTTCAACAGGGAGGAGTCGTGAGATTGGGGTAATGGATGGGGGGTAAGGGGTGAGGTATAATGTATGATATTAGGGTGAGGAGAGAGGTAGAAGATTGGGTTGAGGGGAGAGGTAGGAGATTGCGGTAAGGGGAGAGGTAGGAGACGGGGAAGGAGAAGGAGAAAAGGGAACGGGAGGGAAGTACGGATTAAGGGAGAGGGCTAGGAGAAGGGGAAGGGTTAGTGGAGAGGGGAGAGGGGACGGCGGTAAGAAAGGGGTAAGGGGAAGGGAAGGAGTTAGGGGGTGGGGAGGGGAAAGGTGAAGGGAGGGGTAAGGCAAGGGGCTAAGTGAAAGGGGGTGCACATGGGTAAAGAGAGGGGATAAGGGAAAGGCTTCAGGTGCTCGTCAGATGGCGCCTTGACAAGCAGTGTGGCTGCGTGAGTGGGTGCAAGAGGGCATGGAAAGAGCAAGCAGGAGAGGATCAGAGCTGAATGGGTCAGGGATGAGGGGAGGGTGCGAACAGAGGAGTTGGGCACTTGTGGGAAGGAAGCGTTGCAGGGTGTCATGGAGAATCCTAACGCCCCTCGGAGCTCCAAGGCATGCGCTTAGCCTCTGCCAGCCCCATCAGCAGCCCTTCCGTTAGCGCCCCCTTGTAGTCGTTTGAGTAAGGGTGCATTTCTATCCCGTGTCAGACATTAGGTTTGACACGAAGTGGAAGGTCGGAAGACCCGAAGTGGCTCGTTTTGGGGGCGATTGGAAGTTCGGAAGAGACTAATTGGAGACTAAGGCCGCATGACTTGATGTCTGACACGGGATAGAAACGTACCCTAACTCTCACACATACTATCCTCCCACTCCGACTGCTCACAACCTCCCACACACCTCTCACACACATCAGATTCGACCCACCTTTCACACCCCTTCACCCCCCGTTCCTTTAGCCCCTTCGAACACTCCCCCTTCCTTCACCCCCCTTCCGTCAACCCCCTTTCCATCACTCCCCTTTCCTTCAGCCCCCCTCCTTCAACCCCTTTCACCCCCCTTTCACCAGTCTCCGGAGTGAATCCTACACGCGTTTCAACCCCTCAGAGCGTCTCACCTTGCTGACTCCGGGCTCGTCAATTGCCCGCCAGCCCCATCAGCAGCCCCCCCTTCACCATCGCCCTCCTTCCCGCTCTCCCCGTTGTCGCCTGTGCTGCCGCCAACGCCGCTTGAGCTGCTTGTCCGTATCCCCGCCCGCTTCGCCGCCTTCCGCAGCGCCTGCTGCCTCCGCCGCTCCTGCTCCCGATCCGTCTTCCTATCCTTCTTATTATCCATATCAGGCCTAATTCGCGTGATTCATCAGGTTTGGGGAACCAAAGGCTTCAAAAATCAGTCGTCGATCTGCCACCAACAGGAGAAAACAACCTCCGCCTTCGCTTCGTACGATCTGCCTTCGCTCCTACGATCCGCTATCGGTCGTCGATCCGCGATTCCGGATTTCCAGTCGTTTTCCAAAATCTGAAGCCGGGCTTCGATCCTCAGATTCAACATTCGCTCGACGGAGCGTTTCGGAGAGGGCTCTTCGACTTCGTTCGCTATACCGTTCGTGACGTGCCGCAGGGGCAACGATGCTGCCAGTTCACAGCGCGCGGTAATCATCAGCCATGAACCTACTGATACGCGAACAGGAACAGTAGGAATTTCAAATAGACCTATTTCGTGATCAGTGACGGGGATGAAAAATGTCTTTGTAGGCGGCTTGGGTAAGAGAGGAGGGCACGCTACCGCACTCGTATCGACCATCACGAGGACAGGCGGCTTGAGCATCCAGTAAAGGATGGACCTGCAGCCCCGTGAACCTCGTGTGGGACGAAATTGATAGTTCAAGAGGCATTGGGATCGAATGTAGCAGCCATAAAGGTATTCCTCTTCCTATTCGACTTGGCAAAAGGCTAAGTTGCCATGGCTTCGCACCTCCTCTCATTTCGTGCTGCATGCGAGGGCGGCCGTGACTTCGGATCCCTCTAGTGTTTTATGTTGGCAAGGGTGAGCACCTTTGTCGAAAAGCGCGAAAGTCCGGACGATGTGCGACGAAAATCCGGATGCATGAGAATTGTGCGAAAACAGAACAGAGTTACACGCCATAAGAAACTGTGGTCTGTGATTTGACCAGTCTGCGCGGCAGAAGCTCTCTCTTCCGAGAACAGGTTCGGATTTTGCGAATGATGAACACTGGTTTGGTCAAGCGAACTTGACAGGCGAAAAGCAAGTCACCAGGTAAGCGCGTTTTCGTCAATGCCAATTAGCCTCAAGCGCACTCACACGATCGCGCCTACGATAGTCGCCAGGCTCGCCAAGACCCCTTCCCAGACTTGCTGCGACTGCGCTAGGGGCAACCTAGCAGAAACGCTTGGTGGCTGAAGGGAGTCCTGAGCTTCTTTTCAGAAACCCTAAAAGCTGTGAGTAACCAGTGCTTGTAAGTTTGCAGGACGACACTAATCTCCATATAATGAAGCTAGTAAAGCTTTCCAAGTTCCGCCGAGTCTCCAGCACACAACCCGTTGCTAGTAATACGACGGCTAGCACGATTAACAATCTGCCAGACGATCTCCTCGTCAAAATATTATGGTCTCCCGAGTCGGTGTCTAGCCAATCCGAAGTCAGCTACCCGGGGGCCTCCGTGTCACCTAGGCCGACGTCCACCTCCGAAAGGCCGTATGGTGATGAATCGCGTCTGTCTACCCTCCTGCCTCCGCAGACGCCGCGTTTAGCCTTCTTATCGCGTCCGTTTGCCGCAGATGGCGAAATCTCGCTCGAAATCGCGTCTCCACCTTGCTCGTGAGAAATTGCCGGGTTGTTTCTCTTCGTGACCTGACCGCCGCTGTCAAGTGTTTCCCGAACCTCACCCACGTCCATCTGAGCGACAACAGCGTTGAGACCCTCGACGACGCCTTCATCGCTCTCCTCACTGCATCGTGCCCTAAGCTGAAGGCTCTCCATGTGGGAAAGGAGATAACGCAGAGTAACGGATCATCCCATAGGAAGGCTGAGCACCCGGTGACCGAAGCAGGCTTGGCTCGACTCTTCCGTCGCTGCACTCAACTGCAGCACCTTTCGCTCTACTGCCTGCATCAAAACGCCAAGCTACCACCAAGTTTCTCTCGGCTGAACAATCTTCACACTCTAACTCTGACCGGTAACTCGTCTCGGGAGGCTCCTAGCTTTACCAACCTGTCTTCTCTCGCCTCTCTCTCCGTAGAGAAGGGTGACGACTTTCTCGATCAGTTACAGATATCGGGTCTTACTTCTCTCTTAGGACTCACCAGTCTCTCCTGCTGCAATGAAGCATCGGTGACGCCTTTCTCGATCGCACAACTTCCGTGTCTGAAGTCGCTGGAGCTGAAAGCGGGAAGTCCGCGGTTCGACCTCATGTTTCCGTTGGGTCAGCCATGCAGCAGCCTGGAAAAACTGTTTCTCGGCAAGAGCTTTGAGATCCAGAGTCTTCCTGACGACATTGGAGTGCTGCTGCCATGTCTCCGTGAGCTGACCATCAGCGATTGCGAATATCTCGCCAATCTGCCTGACGGGTTCACTTCGCTCACCTCCCTGCAGAGGTTGGCAATCTCCCGGGGAAAAATGACCAGCCTGCCTGAAAGCTTCGGAGGGCTACCAGCGCTAACATTTTTGTCGCTAGGTCTGCCGGGGCTCACGCATCTCCCAGATTCGTTCCGCCTGTTCACTGCTCTCAAGATTCTGATTCTGGTTGACTGTGAATCCCTCAGCGAACTACCTCCAAGTCTTGGCGATTTAACAGCACTCGAGTCTCTCAGCATCATCAACTCTCCACACTTAATACTTTCTGAAGACATTGGAGATTTGACCAACCTTAAGAGTTTCCACCTGAATAGAGTTCACTCAGACCTCCCATCATCGCTCACACGGCTCTCCTCACTGACAAGCCTTCAAATCTTTCAGAACGCCATGAGCGAGCTTCCAGAGGGCATGGGGAAGCTGAGTGACCTGCGGGTGTTGTTTCTCCAATCCGATTCGGGTTTTGACAAGCTCCCAGAGTCCGTCACCAATCTTGTGAGCCTCGAGATATTGAAAGCTGGCGACGTCACTAGAATGCCCAAAACCTTGAGCAGCCTTGTAAGACTGAGAGAGTTGGAGCTGGGCAAATGCCCTCAGCTGCCAGAAGCTCTCATGACGGTGCCAACATCACTGGAGGCTCTCAACTTGGGGAGCCACCAGCTGCTGATTCCCATGCTGGAATTCCCTGCACTGCCTAGGCTCAGGAAACTGAGCTTGACAAGTGTTGGCCTGCTGCGTGGTCTAAACACCGACATTGTCCTTCCGTCCCTGGAGCACTTGCAGCTGTTGCTGCCTAGAGATGCAGAGGATCTCCCATTGCCACTAGCAGCCGTTCCCAACATCCGCACCTTGACAATTCGAAATGCTGGGCGCATGTTCATGCTTCCGGATGAGGTTGGATCCCTGCTGCAGCTGAGGAAGCTGTGCATAGAAAAGGCTGACAACATGGAATTGGTGCCAGTGATTGTTACGTGGTTACAGAGGCTGACATCCATTGAGGTCCATGCTCCCAGACTTTGCTGCCTCCCAGAGGGCATCGGCGCTCTCTCCAGATTGCGTGAGCTGAACCTGTCTGGCTGCTCAAATCTGGATCAACTACCCGACACTCTCACCCAGCTTTCCTGCCTCCATTTCCTTAACCTCCGCAACACTACTATCAGCGCCCTACCTTCCAACTTCGCGCGGCTGAGCCGGCTCAAGGATCTTGACCTGCATGGATGCAAGCGACTGGAGTCTCTTCCTGACGATTTGACACAGCTCAAGATGCTGCATACCGTAGTCTGAATATTTCAGGCTGTGACAAACTTTTTGATTCCAGAGCCTCACACGCTTGTTTGGATGAAGTGTATGGTCTCCAAGTGCGGACTCGGGAACATGATGACCATGCTTTGGATTACGGTTAATGCTTGTCTGTAGGTGTTTTTGTCAAGAATTTGTTTGGCGGGGTGTAAAGAATCTTCAAGTGAGTATGCATACTACAGTAGCTTTTATTCAGGAAACACCCAAACTGGTACATAACATCATCGCATGGGTACTAGGTAGCGTTGTAGAAGGCGTGTTTTTGACATGAGAATGAAATGCGCTACCTACGGTACCGTATGTGTGAATCACTTCTGCTATGCATCTGTTTGTACATAGAAGACGATGCAAATTCACCATCCACCTTCAAGCTCACTGACACTGAACCATCATCAACAGCATCACCTGCACCACCACGAATTACACCTGCTGCTCCTCCAAATAGCTCCGCCCAATCCTCCTCCACCTCCCCACACTCATGCGCCTTGCTGCCATCCTTGTTTTTCTGCTCTGCTTCCTCTTCCTCCTCCCCCCCCCCTCTCTCTTCTCACATTCCTTGTCTCAATCAACCCCCCCTCTGATTTGTCTCCATCCTTATTCCACCCCCATCTCTCCACATCTCGCTGCCCTCCACTCTCCCACCATCACTGCTCACCTCCCTCACACACCTCAGCAGCCTGACCCCTGCCCTCAGCTGTAGGGACAGGAGCGAAAGGTGGAGAACAAGAGGAGGCTGGAGGGGCGCAGCTTGAGGTGCCTTGCCAGATTGAGGAGCACTGCTACAACTGGAACAGGGTGGTGCTGCCTTGAGGGTAATTTCAAGGCATTAGAACAAGGGCAACAGATGCTGCCTGGTACACATTAGAAGGTACGTGGAAAACAGTCAGATGCACCTGTTGGGAACCAGCTTTACCTGGAAGAAGTGCTGTAGCAGGGCTGAGAGAGGGCAGTAAGTTAGAAAGGTGGAAGCACCACTGCCACCGCATCAGCAGCAGGACCAGCACGAGCAACAGCAACAAGGAATGCAGAGCCAGCAAGGGTAGCATGAGGTGCAGGGAACGTGGGGTAGGAGGATGGGATGAGGCGTGAGAGACAGAAGACCCCCTCCTTACCCCTCTCGATTCCTCCACAACCCCCACACTCTCTCACCACTCCCACAGTGGACAAGAAATTGCTGGCCACCACATGCCCACTCCTGTCCCCAGACCTCGCTCCCTCCCTCCTACCCTACCTCCTCCCGCCCTACCTGCTACCACCCTGCATTAAACGGGTAAGGGCTGGGGTGTGGTTGGGAGAATGGGCATGGTTAGAAAAAGGGCGTGGTGGGGGCACAGGCGTGGGTGGGGATATGGCCGTAGGCAGCATGGGTGTGGCCGAATGTGTGGGAGTGTGGCCGAGGCCACGTGTGTGGGAGTGTGGGCGTGGGCGGGAGCGGTAGCAGCCAGCAACAATGGTGGCGGCAGTGGAGCAGCGAGCAGAGGAACTCGTGGGCGTCCTGATGGAGACAAGGCACATGGGGTAGGAGGGGGGTATGACGAGATGGGCAATGGGCGAGATGGGTAAACGGGCAGGATCGCCGAGATGGGCGAAGGGAAGGAGAGGGACATTTCAACCGCATAAAGTCGAGAACGGAACCAAGGGGAATATAGTAGGCTCATGCCTGGGCGCAGATTTCAAAACAGACTCACGAAAATCAATGCAGACACTGCCAGCATACATTGCGAAGCTTCGAGACCCCGTCCAGCAATTCCACAACAACCTCATACACTCACTACCACAGCCGACCTCCATTACTCACCCCATCCCCCCTCTGTCCTTACCCTGCCATACACTCACCGCCAGTCCCACCTTCTTTTACTGCTCCACGCTCACCTGCTGCTCCTGCCCGAGACAAATTGGAGCGCTTCGCCCCACTGCCGTTTTAACAGTTTCACCTGCCACGACTATTCCCCATTATAGCACAACTGATTTTTCCACGTGGCAGGCTAGAAGCTGCCACGTCATCGGCTGTAGCTCAGTGGTTACGAGGAGGTGAAGTGGAGGTAGGACAGGGGAGCAAGCGAGAGGGCCCCGGAGGGGAGGTGAAGGAGGTGGGAGAGAAAGGGCCGCAGGAAGGCGGGGGCCTTGAGCGTGTCGTCAACGTAACACATGTTGATTGTATCGCATGTGCAGTTTAGGAGACTCATGGTGGGGAGGGACAGAGGAGAGAGATGGATAGAAAGGAGACGGTGGAAAGGAGGAAGGGGGTGAAAAGGAGGGGGAAAGGAGCGTGGAAACAAAAGGTAGGTCCGAGAAAAGGAGGACAGAGATCATGAATGAGAAGCAATACAGGACGGCGGAAAGGTGAGAGGAAGGGAATGTGGGGGTGGGGAGCGTGAACGCGGAAGGGGGGGGAGAGGAACGGAGGTTGAGGTTGGAGGCGGCAAAGAGGAAGGCGGAGAAACGGAGGTTGCACGAAGAAGACGAACTGCGGAATGTGCAAGGTTAACGAAGTCAAAGAAAAGAGGGGGTAAGGATATGGGGATAAGGAAGACGAAGAAGCGGGATAAAGACAGGAAGGCACAGATGATGGCAAGCGTCTCGCCTCCGCCAAGCATATGATCAACCCTAAACCCTTGTGGGCCTTCAGACCTTGGTAGGTGCATCGTGCTCACTAAGTCCCACCTCTACCCGTTTCCAAGCTCGCCCATCCCTTCGCTTCGTTACCTAGGCCCCCCGCCACCACACACCTGCCACAGCACCGGCAGACACGCACTGGCATGGAAAAGGACAAGAGCAACAGGGAGGAAAGGGTGGAAGGGTGAGTTCTTGAGCCGTCACTTGTCCAGTTGTGCACAAACATGGCATAGCGCACGCGTGGAAAGGTGCACCGTCCTTCGACGAGGAAGGCACAGAGGTTGGGGAAGGCGCATTTGCGAGAGGTGCGACGGTGAAAGGCGTTACGATGAAACAAGGAAGCGAGACGGCGGAGGTGGGCGAAAGTGCAGGACGAACAAACTAAGAGCGATGAAGGGAAGAGGTTGAGAAAAAGTGCACAAGGACAGAGAGCACCATGCTGTCGCGATATCGGTCGCATCGGCTGGGATACCACATCTTCCTTCGTCGTACTTTTTGGAAAGCTACTGGGAAGCTCCGATTTCGGCAGCTCGGCAATCTCTTGCGTTCCGATCGCCTCTCTTGCACCCCCTCCCAACCCCACTTTCCCCCAGTCCCCTAGACATGCCAAGCTGCACGTCCTCCTCGGTGCAGCATGGTCAGCCTCTCCCTGGTCGCCCTGCTCTCATCTGCATTCACCATCTCACTCACCTGCACTGTCTCCACATGCACCCTCATGAACGGCCAGTAGCGGCCAGCCAGCAGCAGCGCATCTGCCTCTGCCAGCTAACTCCCCACACCCCTCCTACTTCTCACCCCCATCTACTTCCACCAACCGGAAAACCATTACCGATCCGCCTTCTCCCAGCTCCCGCCTCTCCTCCACTTCCCAGTCCCACCAGCACGGGCTCGCTCACCTGCACCGCTTCCACATGCACCCTCATGAACGGCCAGAAGGTGACGAGGAGGGGTTCCCCTTCCACCAAGCGGAAAACCATAACCTCCCCCCCCTCCCCCCCCCCCCCCCCCCCCGGCCCCCCCACCCTCCTTCTCCCAGCTCTCGCCTCTCCTCCACTTCCCACTCCCCCCCTCCTCGCCCTCCTCCGTTCCTATCCGTCTCGACCTCCCTAATCCCTCTCGTCCTCTCTCCCATCCCACCTTCCCCCTCCTCTCAACCCCTCCTCTCCCCCTCTCCTTCCCCACCCCCTCGAAACCCCTCCTCTCCCCTCTCCTTCCCCCCTCACCTCCCTCTTCCCCATCGTCCCATGCTCGTCCCCCCCTTCTCACAGAAACAACACATGCACTCCACAGCACTCCACATGTCTGCATACCTCAGCAATCAACTGCCACTTGCCACACCGCGCCAAACGAAAGGTCCTGAAGGAATGAATGCAGGTACCAAGGAAGGAAGAACTGCCAGAAGAGAGGCACAGAATGGAGGGAAGGTTATGAGAAAGGTGACTATTGAGGCGCCTCAAAAGGAAGGGTGGTGGGGAAGGTGCACGAACAGAAGGGGTGGAACTTGGAAGGGTCGCACCCCTCCTGTTTGTGCACCTTCCTTCCTGTCTGGGAAACGAGAAGGAGTGTCGCGGTAGACAGGGGGATGAATCAAGTCACAGATGGAGTGAAACAGGGGAGGGTGGGGGGAGAAGGGATCGGAGAAAGGGCTTTCATGAATGAATGCATGGTAAGCACTGCATGACGACGCGAATAAGAATAACGGGGAGGCGCGTGTGAAGGTGAGGAGACTTCTTCCAGCCACGCAGCACCCAGCCATGCAGCACCCAGCCATGCAGCACCCAGCCATGCAGCACCCAGATATACATCACTCTCAGCAGAATGGCACCTGCTCGGCTACCTGCTGGTGGCGAAGGCTAAGGCCGTCTGGTCGGCGGTGAAAAGACGACGAAATGGCCGCCTGGATCCACTGCCTGCGCGTGCTACGCCGAGTTCTCCTGTGAGAGGATGGCAGGTAGCATGAGGGGGGGAGAGTGTGGGGTGGATAGGTGGGGGAAGGGGGGGGAGAGGGGGGACGTGGGAGAAGGGGAGGGGAGGAAGAGAGAAGGGAATTTTGATGTTTCAAGATGTGTCGGAAGGGGTACATAATGAATGGATATTGTTATTCCCCACAACAAGCAAAGACAGAGAATAAGGAGCAAAAGTCGGCGAGGAGCAGGGGGGAACAAGAATGGGGAGAGGAGCAGGGAGGGAGATGACAATTCTCCCACCAGCACCGTCACCTGACGGTGCCGTTCGCCATTTGACTCGTGCCGCTCGCCCTCCAATTCGCTGCTCGTACAGCTCCGACGTCTGCGATGCTCGCGTCGCCGCCTCTCGCCTCTCACAATCCACGCGGCGCTACGACTTCCTCGGCTTTAGTCACTGCCGCCAATAGGAAGCCGCATTAGGGATGCCGAACAGCAGAATTGGTGAAATACGGCGTCACCTCATACGGAATCCAAACGACTAAGCAAGAGGGGCGTTCCTCCTGAGAATATCCTTGGAGATTCTATCACAGCGCAGCCCGAAAGAAGGGCTGAGTAAGGAATCAAGGCGTTTCCTTGGGTGCAAGGAATGGGCAGGGGGCTGCGGGAGGAGAGCGGGAGAAAGTAGTATCTGCCGTTTCTCTCGCGAATGCCTCCTGCTGTCAATCGCGCATTCGCGCTTCTCGCAATGTTGGCGGCGGCGTCACACAGGGGGAATGTGCGATAAGAGGGTAAGGCGTGGGGCGGGGGAAGAGGTGCGAGAGTGATGTCTCCCTTCTTTAATCCGATGTTATGACTGTTCTGACATACCTAAACGAAATTGAATGCTGAACAACACGTTACTGACATCTTGCCAGCTCGTACGATGGAACGTGTCAACTCGACCTTATTACTCGACCTTATTAGTCGACCTTGTTACAGTATTAGATCGCAAAAAGGTACGTCCCAGCTCGATCACTAAGTCCCTGGTCTGCCATTAATCCGTATGCTGAAAGCACTATGTATCAATTGCCTGTAGTGGTTGTTAGGGTTTCGTTTCGTTCCCGTTATTGCGAGAGCGAATGAGGAGGTCGTTGTTCGTCAAACAGGGTCAGCCGCTGTCCTGATTCGTTTGACTGGCAGACCTGGCGAGATTTTTGGGAGCTCACCACGCCCTGCTGGCATGCCATGCAACTATCGCACGAAACTTGTGTCACCTTGGAATCCGCAAAGCAGGGTAACTTGACATTACGTTCGCATCTGTCGAGATCCACATTCCACAGCTGAATGGGAAGTCGCAATTCGCGAATTCGACATCGCCAGCGATGTTAGCCTCTCGCAGCCACAAAGAAAATTGCGAAGCAGATCTTGGCAAAAAAATGGGACTTCAGTTTCAACTCCCTCTCTCCTCCCTGCCAGTGTTGTCTCATTCCTACTATCTTCATGTCGTCTCCACTCCTGGTTCATTTTTTTACCTGATCTGCCTTCAGATATCCTTGCGTTACTATTGACGCATAGAACTGCTATTTGCGCACAGCTTCTCGCCGCACCACGATGGCAACGGACAGCAAGGGACGCATCATTCGGCTCAGCGTACTCATCTTGCTGACGTGTCTCGCCTATATTTCTCCAGTCCACGGTGTCCCGTTCGCCGCCTCCCAAGGTTTGTCCTTGTAGAATGATGCGAAGCGTTCAGTCGGCCGCGGTGCGGCCCCTGCCTCGACCCCCATCACCAAAAAGGCGCTGTCCCTGAGCTGACCCTAGATTGCCCTGTCTTGGAACCCTAAACTGTCCCCAAAAGTATCTTCGGGAGAGTTCGTGCGATCGAACTGTTTTGGGTCGAGAGTAAACTTTTTTCGAAAATCACTCTGTACCATATCTGTCCAAATCTGATTGGGTCGACATGTGATCGGAAGACTCGGGTTCGATTTTCGGGTCTGGCTGATCCTACTGTACATAGTTTTTTAGTTGTGGGTCACCTGCGGTTTTGTCTCACATCCATCCCGAAAATGTTTTGAGGGACAGATGTGGGACAGGCCTTTTTAGAGGGGGCCCCTCCCCTCCAATCATTTCCGTATTTTGTTACCCTTACAAATGTCATGTTTTATGGAGTCCTAGTACAGAAAGGGTTCCATGGAAATCTCACACGATGATGTCACCACAATGACGCGGGACGCATTCTGCCTCGGCGGCCCAGCGCCTCGTCATTGCGCTAGTAACAGTTTTCAGTTCTGCTGTGTCTTCCGCTACCTAAGTACGTCGATTGGTCAATCCCATGTCGCTCCAGGTACCAAAACGTCATGCACATGCTACTAGTTTCAGCAGTGACCAATCGTGCCATGGCGGCGGATCGTTATAGCCAAGTCATGGCGCTTCACACATCTGTCCGATCCATGATCAACCGCATGATGCTTAGCAGTTTGACCTGCCAGTTTCAAGTTTGGAGTTGCAGCTGTGTGCAAATCGTTTCTGTGGAACACAATCTCATCGTGCAGCCTGCCCATCACACCTGTCTTCTCTAAAGATATCTGGTGCAGGGTTTGAGAGAGGGAGCGAAGGCCATACGACGTTGATGAGCTGGCCAATTCATCTCTTCTTCCCTCCCACCCCCTCAGAAGCAGGGCGTATCTCTCCCATGTTTTCTCTACCTTGCTCCAGTTTGGCCCCTCTCCTCCCTGCTGCCAGTGCAACTCCTGCTGGCTGGACTTACAGGCACGCACAGAGGGGAGATATACTGTGTGGGTGGCTTGCTGCCATGGGTGGATGCAGCAATGGCAAGGCGCCGTGGGTCATTGACAACCACGAGTAGTCGTAGTTGATTTACTCGCTGTGCCTAATGGAGCGCAGGACCACTCATTCCCCAACGACACTCGCCTCCTATTTGACCTCCTCTCGTGTTCACACCTTCTATGAATCAGTGATCACGTCATGCCCATGCTCCTGTGCGCATAATGCTTATTGCTTAGCATTTTCAATTTCCGAGTCACGGCTCTGGGTACTTCACCATCACATGTGTTCATTCTGCATTCGTGTGGCACGGCTTATTAGTGTGAAGGGAGAGATGAGAAGGGTGCGACACAACCTTCTATCATTCTCTTGCCCTCCTGCCCCCCTTTCCCCCACCATCTGCCGCCAGTCCAAGTCCTGGTGGACTTGCAGCAAGCGTGGGTCCGGAGAATCTCAGGGTGGGTGACTGGGGGGGACTGCAGCTTGGCATACGGTGTGTTCTGCGATGCCCAAGGCATGGTGACCAGCATGTGAGAGCACCAAACTCTAGCTGGTCTTGCATCCCCATGTGCGCCCCAACTTTTGCTGTCCTCTGTTTCCTCTCTCCACCATTCCGCATGCTCTGTATTTGCACTTCGGCGTGTTAACTCTTGCTGGCCATGCATTCCCTGGACGCCTTTTGTTGTTTTGATTTTGTTCACTTCCATTCCTTGCTTCTTGAACCATTCATCCCGGTCCTCCTCTCATCCAAACCCACTATCTGATCTGTTAAACCCTTGGAATCGCCCCGACCATGTCCCTCCACGTGCTCAATTTACAAGATTCAGAAACATACACCCTTAAAAGTCTGGAATAACCTCACATCTAATGTTCTAATATTGCTATGTTTTATATAGTTTGAGACTTTGGGATCTATAGAGGGAATGAGAGAGAAGGATAGGGACATGTCTAGTAGTTCTATCATGCTCAGGTCAGGGAAATAGTTGACATGGCGAGGGGCATGGCAACAATAGTTGTAACTGCAGCAGGTTTATGCGGGAAAGCAGTTATGTTGGAGTCTGTCAAGGGAGAAGTAGAGACGAGACTCACAATGCCAGTGCCATTTATTAAAAGCAAATGCTCTCCTTCCAAATGTCACCGCAGAACCAAACAGTCCATATGAAAACGCAAGTCAGACATTTGCAAGCCGTACAAGGTGTTACTTCTGTCTAACCTACATTAATTACCCCCCTCCCTTCTCCGTTTCCCTCCGTTTCCGTTGTGTGGATCATATTGAAAGGCGTTCAGTCCAGAAAAGCGCTACCCTAATGCACCTCTCAGGTTTCCATCATCTCCATGCATGTAGGCACAGGCGTAGATCACCCCCGGCAATAGGCGAGAGTAGTTCTAATTCTTTTTATCTGCCATTGTGTTATGGATATATTTTACATAATGTTGGCGTTTCTACTAATGGAAAATCTGAACCCTATCATACAAGAATCATGAATTGTTAAAATTAATAACGTTTGTGGAATGTCCAATTATAAACAGTATGAATTAAACATACAAACTCACTAAAGAGTAAATTGCAATGAGATCTAATCTCCAAAATCACTTCGGGAAAACTCGTATTAAACTTAAGTCGAAGGTATTCAAGAT